CTTGCTGCTGTCCTACATGAGGGTATTGCCTGTGAGGGCCCCACTGGGGACGGTCCCTGTCTCCCACCCCCTGGCACCTTAGTGGGCAGCTGACCTGAGGCTCGCCTAAGGGACTTTGAATCTCAGGGGCTTCTGGATGGTGGATGTTCTGGGCAAGGCAGAGGTCTGGTGGCGTGGGTGACCCCACACAGGTCCCCTGTGTGGGCAGACAAGGAAACAGTGGCACCCTGGGTGCCGTGGCTGTGTGCACCTGGCGGAGGCCCTGAGGCCCCCGGGGCAGTGGGCCCAGGCCTGAGCCAGCCCCCCTGATGGCCCCCTGACCCGGGCTCCCAGCTTGGCCCTGGTTGGCTTGGTCTGTGCCAGTTCCCCTTACAGCTCATCCTTTTAGCTTTAAATAGGTCAATCAGCACCTTCGGCAAGTCCCTAGTGCAGCCAGTCCCCAGTGCTTTGGAGACCATGAAGGTAGAAGACCCTCCTTAGTGTCTTAGGCTGTTTGAGATGCTAAAGCAAAGTACCCTGACCTGGGTGTCCTGCTGCAGTCCTGGAAGCTGCATGTCCGCGGCCAGGGTGCTCTCAGGTTGGGTCTGGGGAGGCCTGTTTCCTCGTTCGTGCACGGCACCTTCTTGCCGTGTCCTCATGTGGTGGACACATGATGAGTCCCTTTTACGAGGCAGTAACCCAGTTCCTGGGGCTCCACTCCATGGCCCATCGCTCGTGCCATGCCCATGGGTTGGGATTTCCACAGGTGAACTTTGGGGTGGGCATTCGGCCCACAGTAGTGGGTGACCGTGGGGGTGGCCTGGGCCGTGGCCTTGTGCTGCACAGCCTCAGGAGGGCGCCTTGAGTGCCAGTGCACACTGTCTCTGATGCCTTGGAACAGCCGTCTCGTCCCTGTGCTGGCCTTCTGCTGGCCCTGCCTCCCCTGTGCAGTGACCGTCCCGTGGTTCCAGCTCTGGGTCTCTGGGAAGGTGAGATGGGCAGCTCGGGGCTGCGTGTGGACTAGGGCCGAGGGATGGCTGTAGAAGGAGAGCAGCCCCTGAGCCCTGCTGGGACCCATCTGGGGCCCAGATGCCAACCAGGAAGTCCAGAGGGCTGGGCCCATGTTGGGGGTGCTGAGTGCCCCCTGCGTCCATCTCCTGTCCTTGGCTGCAGCTCCTTCTTCTATGCCTTCGTGAACCTCCTGGTCAGCGCCTTCGTGGTCTTCCTGGTCTTCATTGCCAGCACCATTGTGAGCGTGGGCTTCACCATGTGGTGTGACACTGTCACTGAGAAGGGCACTGTGCCCCACAGGTATGCTGCCCCCTGCTGTGTCCCTGGAAGACCTTTCCCCAGCCTTGCCTGTGCCCCAGGGATCTTCCCTCTGAATCCTGTCCTGGTCTGCAGCTTGGCCCTCCCTCCCCCATGCCCCCACCTGTGCACAACTGGTCGCCCCTTCTGGGAGCCCACCCCCTCCTTCCTGGCTAGGAAGAGCCACCAGGGGTTGGAGGACCCTGGAAAGCTCAAGGTGGCCATGCAGTCCGAGACCCTGGGGTCTTGTCCTGAGCTGCCTGTGGGGGACAGAGGCTTGGGTCCTGGTGGGGTTGGAGGTCTGGCAGGGTAGGGGGTGGAGAATAGAGTAGAAGGCTCTGGTGGGGCAAGGTGGCTCCCTGGCGGGTCAGGGACCTCTGTGATCAGGGCAGCCACTTGGCTGTGACCTGGGGCAGCCTCTGACTATCAGGGTGCCCAAAGTGGAGCATGTGACTGCCCATATCCCTCCGGGATACTTCTGCCCAGCCCTAAGAAGGCCCAGACCTGGGAAGCAGGACCTCAGGTCACCTCTTCCGGAGGCTCCACATTCTTTCTTTAAGAAAATCAACTCTGGAACCTGATGTCTAACTAGGTGACGCAGACCTGGGCACATTGCCTGCCTGACTTCTGTGTGTCCAGTGGTTATCCCAGGCCAGGCTGGGGTGGGTCTGCGGGTTCCTCTCCCCAGAGCCAGTCCTGCTGTGCTGATGGGGGTGGGGACCTAGAGGCTCCCCCTCCCCCCGGTGGACGGCCCTCAGCACTTGGGGGTGGTGCTCCCTGCTCCCTGCCAGCCAGTCTGCCACAGAAATCACCCTCCATACCCACGCCTTGCGTTTTAGCTGTGAGGAGTTCCAGGACATCGACTTGGAGCTGAGTGTGGACAATTCTGCCTTCTATGATCAGTTCGCCATCGCCCAGGTAGGGTGGGGCCATCACTGCCGGTTACTCGTGGATCTCTCCCCAGGGAGGAGCAGGCCCAGGGCAGAAGCAGAAGGTGCACCTGGAGGGGAGGGCAAGGTTCCTGGTGGCTGGATGGGGTGTGGTGAGGTGGGACTGGAAAGGGGCGTCACGTCCTGGGTTTGAAGGGAGGGGTCTGTGTTCTGGACAGGCCTCAGAGCGCCCTGTGCAGGTGGGTGGTGCAAGGCCCAGGGTCATCCTGGAGCAGAACAGGAGGCCATTGTGGTGTCCCAGGTGTCCCTGTGCACGGGAGGCTCCTGCTCTGCCTGTCTGCCCTGCCAGCCCTCACTGGGCTCCATGCTGGGCATCCTGTTGGCTGGACACATTGGTGGTCAGCGGGGCCCCAGGCAGAGCCTGGAGGTGAGGATCTTTCTGAGGTGACCTGAAACGGTCACAGACAGTGACATGTAAATCCAGCAGAAGATGCTCCGGGCCTAATTTGTGCCAGTTAGATGGTGTGGGGACAGACGTGCTCAAAGGGGAATCGGGTAGACGTGGAGCCGGCCTGGAGCTGATTAAATTGTTCTCTTTCAACTGTTTGGAAACAGCAGATAAAGGTCAGTTTATTCCAGTGGCTGGAGGGGGTCCTGCTGTGTGCAAGCTCCTTGGAGCTGAGCAGCCCCAGCTGCTGGGGAGACGTGGCCCTGGCTCCTCCCCAGGGACCCCCTCCTGGGGGAGAGAATGGAATCCACAGGCTCCTTCACAAACTTGGCTCTGGAGGGGGCTGCAGAGAGGAGCCTGAGGTCCCCAGGCCTCTCAGCACATGTCCTCACTCACAGAGTGGGACACTTGGCAGGGTGGGTGCGGGCTGTGCCCTGACGCTGCCCTGCTCTCTGTGCAGTTTGGCCTCTGGGCGTCCTGGCTGGCCTGGCTGGCCATCACCATCCTGGCCTTCCTGAAGGTCTACCACAACTGCCGCCAGGAGGACCTGCTGGACAGCCTGGTCCACGAGAAGGAGCTGCTGCTGGCCAGGCCGGGCCCCCGCGCCTCCTTCCAGGGGGAGAAGAGTGCTGTCATCTAGGCTCCCCGCTGGCAGGGGCGCCGACCCCAGGATCCTTGCCCATCGTCCTGTCCTGGGGGAGCAGCTGGGGATCCCTGCCCGGGCCCCCACCCCTGCCAGCGCCGCCCTGCATGTGTCCCCCCGCCCTGCCTGCTGTGAGGTGAGCACCCCGATTCCCACCCGGAGCCTGGCAGCGGCTGGCTAGGCAGCAAAGGGCCAGGGGCTGCCAGGCTTCACGCAGCACTCCTCCTGGCTCTCCTCCTGGCCAGGTCCCCGGGTCCCTTTGCCACTGGGGCGGCTGGTCCACACTCCGCCTCTGTGTGACTGTGCGTGCCTGTGGGCGTGTGGACAGGGGGGTGCAGGTGCAGAGCAGCTGCCCAGGAGGGTGCTGTTGTCCCCTCTTGCAGATTGCAGCCCAGGCCTCAGAGCCTGGCCAGGCAGGGAGCCCGGGCTCCACGCTGCGCTCGGTGGTGAGCGCTGGTGGTGGCTGCGCAGCCCTGCAGGAGAGCCCAGTCCTCCCTGGAGGGCATGTTCCTCTGTGACCTTGTTCCAGGGGCTGGGACCCCACGTGGAAGAGCCCCCCGCCCTGGCCTCCGTGAGCCAGTTGCCCTGAGCTAGTCCACGGGCTCCCTCTGCACTGCCATGCCCTTCTGGAAGGGAGAGCCCAGCCGTGTCCAGCTCTCTGCTGTCCACCAGTGACTGCTGTGTTTCAGGCGGAGGGTAGCTCAGACCCACCTGGGGAGGCTTGGTGAGCATGGTCAGCTGGGCCCTGGGAAGCAAGGCCAGCAGGGACTTGTCAGGACACTCTGAAGGCAGGTGCCAGTCCAGGGGAAGTCCAGGCCAGGTGGGGCAGGTTGCTGCCAGCCCAGGGTTCAGCTGGGAGTTTCCCGCAGGTACTCAGGGGACAGTATTGTGACAGTCTGAGGTTCCCAACGCTGCTCTCCTCCTGGGCCCCTCACATCAGCCCTAGTCCACTGGACACAAAGACCCTTCCCAACCCCAAGGGTCCTGGTCTGTCTCCCCAACACAGAGTGGAGTGGCTCCTGCCTCACTCTGCCCCGGGTACAGCCCCCGGGACCCTGGAAGGAGGAGAGAGGGACAGGGCAGGGGACAGGGCAGCTGGCCAAGGGCAGCCGCTGTCAGCGCTGTGTGGACCTACGTCTGCCTGCACTGGAGCTCCCTGGGGGGCTGTGCATGGCTCCCCAGACACCTAGGCCCTGGGGGTTCCAGGAGGGGGCCTTTGACCTGGGTGCTGGCCTGCCGTGGGCCCCGGGCCCCGGGCCCCTGGGGGCTGTGGTGTGGGTCCCCACAGTGGCTCCGCTGCAGACTGCTGTTGAGATGCCTGGACTCCTCCCTGGCTGTTTTCAGGGGGGCACCTTATTTTAATTTTCCTTCTGGCTAAACTGAAAGTGAAGATCTTGAACCTCCACGTGTCTCTTTCTCCAAGTCAAAATAAAAGCAAACCCTGTCTCCACTGCGGATGAGGGCTTGTCACGTCTCCTGGCTGCCTCCCCCAGCCTCCCCCAGCCTCCCCCAGCCTCCCTGTTCCCGTGGCTTTGACTGCCTGCAGTCTGTGATTTGAACCGCTGCATCCTGGGCTTGTACTGTCAGTTCCAGGGGCTTATCAGGAATGGCCTTCTGGGCACAGTGGGCCTCACGCCTGCATTTCAGGGGTCCGAGTCTCACGGCCCCTGGGTGACCCCTTGGGTGTTTGGACGGATTTGAGGGATTCCTCTAAGTCCTTGTTTGAGCAACATTTATTACAAAAAACAGCTGGGATGGCAGTTCTGTGGGCCTGAGAGCTGGACACCTCTCTCTGCCATCTTTGCAGTGGACAGCTGGCTGTGGGGAGGGGGCCCAGCCCCCTTCCAGCCCTGACCCAGAACCAGGTTGAGAGGCAGCCCCTGCCCAGGGGCTGAGCCTGGGCCGTGAGCCTCCTCTCAGCGCCTCCTTCTCATCTGCAGTAGGGGTGGGGTCCTGCCTGTCCTCCGAGGGTGGGTGAGGTGGCACGGGTCTGGGGACGGCTGGGCTGGTGCAGGGAAGTGGTAACCAGGGGTCCCCTGACCCTGAAGCTGCAGGAAACCCTGGAGACCCCTACCCATGGTCTCTGAGGCCTGGGGGATCCGTCCCCTAAGCAGTAGAAGAGAGTGAGCTGGGTGTCCAGGTAGGACTTGCCTCAGTGTATCCCCCCATTCAGGCCAGGGTCCCCACTGGGTCGAGGGAGGTGAGGCCCAACAGCTGGCAGTTGGATCCGTCCTCTGACGGACTCTCACAGTGGACCCCAACACAGAAAACGGCGGGGAGGTGACGCTGGGCGGGGCAGTGCGTCTCCCGTCTGGCCTCCAGTCAAGGTGGTCACTGTCCCTAGGTCCCCCTGCCAGGAGTCCTGGGTTTGCCAAGCAAGCTGGCAGGGCTGTCTCCTGGTCCTGGGGCCCGAGGACTGCCTGACGCTCTACCCTAACCCTCATCTACCCAGGGCTGTCCAGAGGGGACGTCCTGGCTGGCCACTGGCCAGACACCCAGGAGGCAGTGCCAGCAGGCCAGGAGCACGTGCCACAGGCGCATGAGGAGGACAAGGAGCCGGGCTCGGAGGTCCTCCAGGGGTGTGGCAATGGACTTGGCCCGGCCACAGCACAGGCCCAGAGCTGCCCCGAGCAGGACGCACACGGAGAGCCGCAGGAGCAGGGAGCTGCCACCCGGCAGGCGCTGGAGCAGGGATCTGCGGCGGGGCAGGCGCCGGCCCGACACTGTGGGCCGAGGCGGGGCGGGTCAGTTGTGGCCTGTGCCCTGACCCTCTCGGGTGAGGACTGGCCAGGGGCTTCCCCTTGGAGGGAAAGGGATGGAAGGAGACCCAGGCTGCCGGGCCACTGTCCTGTGCCCATCAGGATGGACATTTGGGAGGGTTGGGGGTGACTCCCAGAGTCCCTATGGGATGGGGATCCCCACTCCTGGCCAGAGGCAAACTGCTCCCCAGCTGTGTGCACCAAGGACCCCAGTGTGGAGCCTCAGCTTTGGAGCAGACAGGGGAGATGGGGGCATGGGGACAAGATGTGGGGCCGGGACGTGCAGGAACTCCTTGTGGGTGGAGGCCCAGAGCGCTGGGCAGATGGGGCTGGGGCTTAGAACTCACCCTTGACGGTGGCCCTGGTGTCCCTGCTGGCGATGTCTAGGAGGGAGAGCACAGATCCCTCAGCCTGCAGGGCGCCCAGCCCTGCTTGTCTCTCCCCCACCCCAGCCCAAAGGACCAGCAGCCACCCAGCCCCAGACAGGGCCCACTCCTCAGGGCCCTGACCCTGCAAGCACAGTGGGATGGAGAACAGTCCTCGCCCATCAGCAGCTGCCCCACTGACCACGACCCTGTGTCCATGTGACCTCTTGCCCAGGTTTTACTGGGGGTCCACCGGGAAAACAGAACAGGGACTGTTGCCCCTTCTGGTGGTCCAGGGTCCTGCCAGAGCTGTGTGGGCACTGCGGGCACCACCCTCTCCCAGACCCTGATGCTGGCCCACATGCCCTCTTACAATGAATGGCCGCCTCCAAGGGCTCTCGGAACCGTACGTGCCTGGAAATCCTCTGTGGGTCGGCCCCGCGAGGCCCTTGCTTGGGCTGGCCGCGTCTCAGGATGGAGCGGGGCTGCTTCCTGTCACTGTCCTGGCCAAGAGTGGGAAGCAGGCAGCAGTGAGCACATTTCAGCAGAGTCCTCACTGTCCCCTGGGCTTTAGGCAGAGGGACAGGTGTGGAGACCCCAGAGCTGCCCCTGGCCCCCCACCCTGCCAGTTGCTCTCACATGGAACCCGGACAGTGCTGAGCAGGCAGGGCAGTAACCAGCAGGCCCCTGTCCAGCCCACACTCTGTGCCTCCCAGTCCGAGTGGGGCACAGCAATGTTTGCATGTTAATAAGAGTAATAACCCATCCTAAGGTGACCCCATGGTGACCGGCCACTGACGGAGGACTTTCCGCCCCAGGGTTGTGAGCCTGCCCTGAGTCCCACTGAGTTCCTGCAGGCTGTGTCGCGGGGCCCCAAAAACCAGGCATGGAAAGGCTGATGACCAGCGATCAGGCGGGGAGGGACGGGGGTACAGAGCTCTACCCTGCCCAGAACCCCCTCATACAGATGAGGGGCAGGGCCTGGACAGGGCTTGGGGACCCACCAGCAAGGCGCGGGGCACCTCCTCCCTGAGGGGAAATGCCAGCCCTGGCCCCTTCCTCCGCATTATCTCTGGCTGCTGTTCTGGCCCCAGTAGGGACTCGGGGGACATGGAACATGGGGATGGCGTGGGGAGGGGCCCTGGCTTAGGGGGCCAAGGTAATAAGTTCCACCCAGCTCCACGGGGCTGGCTGTGGCCTTGCCTGGCCACTGGGGCCTCTCCCTCGAGGATCTCGGCCTCCCTTTCTGCGTCAGCATGTTCCCAGGCTGCTCCGGGGTGAGCAGGAAGGCAGCTGTGCACCCACGTGCCCACCCGGGGCTGCCGCCCACCTGCTCCGTTACCAGCTCATCTGCCCAGCCCCAGGTTGGAAGATGAGCTCCTGGCCTCTGTGGGCCCCAGTGTCTTTGTCTGTGCACAGGGACAAGAGGCTGTCTGCGGGCCATCCCCAGGTTCTCCCAGCTGGGCACCACCACCGCACACAGCCTGCTGCTCTGGGGTGAGAGAGGCTGCCCTTCAGGGCACTGGACCTGGCAGTGAGCTTAGAGCCTCCGTTAGGCCTCAGGGCCTGAGGTCTGGGTCCCTCCTGCTTGGACGTCCCCGATCCTGCTCTGTGGAGAACTCCCTTGCTGCCACCCCCTCCAGGTCCCATCCCTGTTCATCCTGGAGGACGCTTGGTGACAGCCTCAGGTGTCCTGTCTCCACTGCTCCCTCGCTCCAGCACTGGCCTTTCTGCGCTCCTCAGCTCTGTCACCTTCCACGGCTCCCACGTCCCCTGCCTCCATCCGGCCCCCACCCTGCCAGTTGCTCTCACATGGAACCGGTCAGGGCTGAGCAGGCAGGGCAGTAACCAGCTCCCTGCCGCTGACCTCCTCAGTCTGGCCATCTCCCACCCCCGTGCTGCTTCCGTGCCTGGGATCCTGGCCTGATGCTGTGTGCCCACCTGGTGCCTCCTCCCCAGACCAAGCCCTTCAAGGTGGCCTCCCTGCCCCACCAGGCCCCAGAGTTCCCCTCCTGCTGTTCCTGGGGCAGAGGACACCTTCAGAGCAAGAGTGGGGACCCTGCCTTCCTCACTGCCCCCACCCCAGGGGACACAGTGTGTGCAGCGGGACGTCTCTGGCAGCCCGCCTCACCCTTTCCGCCCTGGGCACCTGTGAGCCCCACGTGGCCTCATTTCTTCTGGGCTGACGTCGGGGCCCTGGCCGGGGGTCGGGGTGCGAGGCTGGCACCGTGGTCTTCATTTACTGGAACATGGTCCTAGGACAGGAGATGGTTCACTGCATGAGCAGCGCCCCCCGTTAAAGACAAAGGGATGAGGAGACGATTCCTGGGAAGCCAGGCTGGCTTCCAGCTCCGGCCGGCCTCGCCCAGTGTGTCCGCGGCCCTCCTGCCCAGCACAGACGAAGCCTGTGCCCTGTGTGCTCAGAACTGCTCCTGCAGGCAGTTCCTCTGCTGCTGCCTGGTCTCCATCACCCTCGTCTTTCTGGCTGTATAATACTCCTCAGGGCATAATACTGCCCTGATTTGCACCTACCCACCTGGCAGTGTGCCTTCTGTCATTGTCACTGTGTGTCTCTCTGCATTGCCTCTCTCAGCAGGGTGGCTCTGGTTCCCACGAAGGGTGGGAGCTTTGCAATGCCAGGGCTCAGCAGGCCCTGGGAAAGGCTCTTCCAGAGGGTCCTGCAGCTGTCCTGCTGTGCCCCTGAGCTCCTGAGCCCACCCCTGCACTGGCCAGGTTTGTCCCTGCTGCTGTCTGTCCCTCTACCCTCTGTCCTTCTGTCTTTGTCTCTGGTTCTTTGTCTCTAAGCACATCTCTCTCTCCTTGCCTCTCTGTCTGTCTCTGACCTGTCCCTCCCTGGGTCACGCTGCTCACTTCCTGGTACAGAGGCACCTCTTGTTCCACCAGTGTGTCCCCAGTTGCCAGGAGCTGTCAATGTCCCCTGTGCCTTGCTCAGGGTGGCTGCCCAGCACAGATTTCCTTCTTCCATAGCCTTGGCTGGGCCTTGACCTCTAAGGTCTCCTGTCCTGCTCCAGGTGCGGACGCCACTGGGCATCCCAGCAGGGGCAGCCGGACATCAGCCCTCCCAGGCCTGGGGCTGCCGAGCACACCTCCCTACCTTCTCAGGGGAAGTAAGGTCAGAGAGGGCAGGAGTGTCCCTGGCCACAGAGGCTGACACAGGGCTGCTGGGGGCTGGTCCTCCCGGCTCCTTCCCAGTTAGATGGGTGGCTTGGGGCCGTCTGCCCTCCTCCACCCTGCCCAGGCTCTCCCAGGGCCCTGATGAGGGGCATTTGGTGGGCATTATTGCCCTCCGGGTGGTGGCAAAAATTTGAATTGCATGAGGAGCGTCCTGGTTTCTGTGGACCCTCCCGGGCCCTGTCCCTGAGGGCTGGGAACAGGCTGGGGGCTTCCCCTGTCCCCGGCTGCCTGGAGGGGTGAGGCTGGGCCGCCTGCAGCCTTCCTTCTGGGAGAGAGCTGGCTCCTGGAGCCCTGTCGGACCTGAGCGTGGGGTGAGCCGACACACCCTGACATCCACACCACAAGGCCCGCCAGGCTCGGTGACCTGACGGGGAGCGCTTTCTCCCAAGGTGGCGTCAGGTTTTACTGCAAACAGGGCTGAGCAAGGAGCCGGGTGCAGGAGCCAGCATGTCTACCCACGCTCAGGGAGGGCCTTCTGCTAAGAGGCTGTGCGGCCTCAGTGCCCAGGGCTGAGGCCATCGGAATTCAGGCCCACGTAGCCTCCAGGCCAGTGCTGTCACAGAGCACCAGGCTGTTCTGTTTGGGGACACTGCCTGGCAGGCAGCCTGGGCAGCATCTGCAGAGAGGGTGCTGGACCCAGTTCACACTAGGGAGGGCCTGGAACTGATGAAGCCCTGCCAGGTTGTCAGAGGCTGGGGTCAAGGGTGGGCAGGAACCTTGTCAGTCTCCTGGGCCCGGAAGGGGGAGCTATGGGCTCTTTGGCTTCTCCTGTGGCTGCACAGACTGGGCACCCCAACCCTGCAGCCAGCCTGCCCAGGTCATGCCCTGCACTGCCTTGGAGAGCAGGCTGGGTAGGCCAGGGCCACCCCAGGCAGGGCCACACCAGACTCAGCCCCTTGGCCGCATGGTCAGGAGATCTGTGGTGCGCTGTCCTTGGACAGGGCTCTTTGGGGGATTGCAGGACGACATGTGCGTGTGAGTATGTCTGTGTCATATGTGTGATTATGACAGTAGCCACACGTGGGAGAGCATGTGTGTCCCTGGGAGTGCCCACACGTGTGTACATGTGAGTGAATGTGATGGTGTATGTTGATGTGGGAGAGCGTACACCTGCCAGGATTGAATGCACACTCACTTGTTCCTATCTGCAACTGTGTGTGCATGTCTGCACGGAAGTGATTGTGTGTGTCTTATTTGTGTGTGCATGTGTGTCTGTGCATGCAGATGTGACTGTGTGTGCCTGTGGGTGTGTCTGTGTGGTGTGTACACGTGGTGTGTAAGCACGTGATGAGTGTGTGCAGCGTGTTGTGCGGGTGCTGGTCTGTGACCTTGCTGGTTGGGGGTTGGGCTCTGGAGCTCCTCATGTGGCCACCTGTGACCTTGAGTGAGACTCAGCCTCCCTGGGCCTTGACCTGCTCCCTGGTTGATGCCAGCAGCCTCGGCAGCTGCGCCTGGACCCTGCCGGGTGTAGGTGGGCTGTGTCACAGCAGATCCCAGCTGGTGCATCTGCCCCGTCGTCCCTCCTGGGAGAGTGGATGCCAGGCACGGGGACAGCCCCTCCCCCATGGCCTGCGGCCCCTCTGGAGCTGTGCACTTCACCTGGCTGCCCTCGTCCCTGCTCCCAGGAGGCCACCCACCCCTGTACAGGCAGATGCTGCCTGGGCCCAGACTTCCCCTCCAGGAGGGGAGGAAGCTTCCTCAGGAAGCAGGGCTTTTGGTGTCCCCAGGCCTGGCGGGGTTCTGGTCTCTGTGACCTTGGTCATGTGAGTGAGCTCCTGGTGGCTCATGTCCCCAAGTGACGCAGCAGAGAGGTGGCCCTGGTATGCACAGTAGCAGGGGAGGCCTGCTTGTCCCCGCCCCCCAGCAGAGGCCTTGGTGGCAGGGACAGGGTGTAACTCGAGTGTACTTGCTCTAGGGCTGGCTGGTGACAGATGGGTGATAAAGGGTAGAACATAGTTCCTGGGGCCTGGGCCTGGGGAGTGTCACCGCCATGCCACACTGCTGGGGAGGGTGCCTGTCTGACGGGTGCTGCCCCTCGCTCTGGGCCAAATGGGGCCCCAAAGACCCTCTGAGCATTCTTGGGGCTGGTCCAAGTGCCCCACCTCATCTTGAAGCTGTTGGGAGCTGGTGACAGCCCCATGCCACGTCTGTCCACCTGCCATCCCTCCTCTAAGCCCCGGCCCCTCCCCGGCCTCCAGGGCCTGTGGAGGAAGGAGCTCACTGGCTGCTCTGCTCCCTCCGTGCCGCCCGCCTACCCCCACAGCCTGTCACCTGCGTCTACATCCTTGCCCAGGGCGCTGGCCGGGCCCAGGTCCAGTGGCTAGCCTGTGCCGGCCCCAGTGCCCAGCCGGTGCTGCCAGCGGGCCCCTCCTCGGCTCTGACCACCGATGGACACCCTGTTTGGCACCCACAGCTGCTGCTTGTGTACCCCCACTCCGAAGTGGAGCCCGTGGGCATGCAGGACCCAGGCCCACAGTCGTGGAGGGCAGGTGCTCGGAGCCCGGTGAGTAGCGGCTTTCCAGCTATACCACCTCCAGAGCACTCTACGGGGCTGGGGACGGGCCAGGCTCCTTGGAGACCTCCTGGGAGAGTGAGGAGGCTCGTGAGCCACACACACACACACACACACACACACCCCACCTGGGCTCCTGCAGTGCTGCACCTGTCCCAGGGGAGCTGCCCACCTGCTGCGTCCCACACGCTGCTGATCATCAGAGCCTCGCCCGGCGGGAACCAGAGCTGTGAGGCTGCTCACAGGCAGGCGGAGAAGTTTCCATTACAGAAACACAGGCAGTGGCCTCAGCAGCCCTGAGGGCCTGGCTGCCCGGGGGGCCTCTGAGCAGTGGATTGTGGGAGGCTGTCACCCCGGGGCTTGGGGCCCCACTGTCCCAGTCACCTAAGCCGTTTGGCTAGAGGAGCTGAAGCTGCAGAGCCAAGCTGTGCCTTCTCCCCGCTGGGAAGAAACAGGAAGCAGGGACGCCCCACTGACCTTCTCTCTGTAGGTGGGGGGCCAAGCTGGGGTGCGGGGCACAGGGCTCCCAGAGGCAGGCAGAACCCGCAGGCAGCTCCCCAGACACACGCTTCCAACTTAAGCCGGAGGCAGAACTGGGGAGCCCCTGGCTGCTCTGTCCATGGCTGCGCTCACTCAGACACCTAATGGCCCTGGCTCGGGGGACAGGGAGCAGGGCTGGCCTGGAGCAGCTCCCACCATCCAGGGGAGCTGGAGCCTCTGTGTGGCTGAGAGGCCCTTATCCAGCTTCTGCCTCCAATGGGCTGGCTCCCGCCTCCCCAAGATGGCCGAGGCTCGGGCAGGGTGTATGTGAAGGGCACAGGCTGGGGGTGTGGGTGAAGGGCACAGCCTCGGGCGGGGTGTAGGTGAA